GGGTGGGTGGAGGGGTGGAGGAGGTGTCCGAGGCAGGAGCTGAGGCCGGCTCACGTTTTCCATGGTAACGAGGTAAATCTTGACAGCAGGTTGGAGCTGGGAGGAATGGGGACTGAATAAGGGAAATTTTGAGGGACTTGCGTGCTCTCGTGTATGTATCACAACGAAACAGCCAGGTAGTGGTGAGCTCCACCAGGTTTCTGCTCATTCTCCACCAGAACCGGGTTGAGGGTTCCTGGGTTGTGGGTTACACTGCGTGTTGTGCTTGGGGAGGGGCTAACGGTTGGGAGATGGGCAACGAACTGGGTTAGCGGTCTGCAGGGAGCCCGCACAGGAGCCTAGGGATAGAGGGAGTCTGGGAACCGGCAGAAGAGAGAACCAGCAAAAAGGTCAGTGGGGGAGGGGGCAAGCAGGAGGGCTGGGGTGAAGATCAGTCCTTGGGCTCCTATGGAACTTGGGTCTGGAGTGGCTCCTCTATTCAGCACTGTGGCCTCTAAGATGTGAGAAAGGACCAGCACGAAGGGTTAGGGAGGCGGGGACCAGAGGAAGGCTGAAGGTGAGAAAATTTGGGTCGGCCGTGAGTTTCCTTCCCCACCCTATGTCCCATTTGAGTAATTGGGAACGTGGGGAAGGATGTGGCTTCCGGCCTCAGATTTATCCTGTCTGATGTGTGGCCCCGGAAACGCGAGGGACTGGGAGACCGTGGAGTGCAGAGGTGACGAAACGGTCATCTTACACCTGGCTGGACTCAGGATTTATTGTCACTCTTTCCAACAGCCATCTGCACCTAGAAATGGTTTGTGTGGGAAGAGGGAGCAGGAATGGGGTTGAAGGTGGGGTGCATGGGGACTCTTAGCTTGGGGAGGGGACTCAGATCCCTCCTGACACTTGGGGAGGGGCTCTTAAACTTCTCCATGCTAGAGGAGTTTGTTTCAAACACATATTCTAACTGTCTGGTCCGGAAGGAGCACGAAATCCTGTCGTGCAGGAGGTCTAGGTAGATGACCCCAGGACGCCTGTGGAGGCACAGCGGGGGGCTGGAAAAGAATTAGGAGTTAGGGCAGAGGGTCAGGGCTGCTGGAGGCGGGAGTCTGGGGCGGGAGCCTGGGAGGGCTGGGTGCAGGTGTCATGACTGGGGTCACCAGGAGCTCTGGATGTGGGCTCAGACTCTTCCACCATGAGAGGTGACTCCCCAGAGGTGCTGGGAAGCAGGTGGGGGGAGCCCTGAGAGAAGGCACGAGGAAAGCAGACTAACAGGAATGTGTGCTTTCCTGTGGTTTCCTGCCTGCAAATCCGGATCCTTTGCAGAAGAGAGCG